ATAGAGTAGCAACGAAAATAATTTTATGGTTGGGGGTCACCACAACATGAGGAACTGTATTAAGGGGTCGTGGCATTAGGAAGGTTGAGAACCGCTGCTCTAGAGGGTACTACATACGTGTCTATGAGATGAGCTAAGATGGGTCTAATAATCAAAGGCCTGTGCATCCTGGTGCCCAGGTACACATGATCTGGCATGTTTTGCCCCTGAGCAGTGAGATCAGTGGACCACAAGCTGCCTCCCTTTCTTCTGAATGGCTCTTAGGCAAAGAGGCCAGAATACCCACTGGCCTAAAAGCAAGGATTGCTCTTGTCTATCTTCCCTTCCTTATCTTGCATTCTATCCTACATCCTCTGTACTAGGGCTTCTGTCCCAGCCACTTCACTGAAATGGTTTCTGTCAAGGTCATCGATGATCTTCATGTTACCAGATCCAGCAGTCACTTCTTTGGTTTTGTCTACTTTCCAAAAGCATTCAAAATGGCTGATCACTCCATCCTAACTGAGACCCTTTTTTTCCTTGACACATGATTGCTTTCCTTCCAACCTTTCTAGCCACCCCTTTCAGTTTACTTTGCTGGCTCCTTCTCCCAGACTACCCTCTAAATATTAGGGTGATCTGTCTCCCTGGCTTCTGTCCAGGGAGAGATAATGGTAGACAGAAGGGTCCCACACGCTCCTGGGCAACCTCATCTAGTATTTCCAGATACTTACAGATGTAAATACCATGAATCTACTAGTGGCTGCCAAATCTAGATCTCCAGTTCTGTCCTTACCCCAGAAGTGCAGACACACACACCTCTAGATGCCTACTTGACATTTTTTAAAATGTCCAATAAGCATTTCAAACAAGCACTGCCAGAACACAAGTCTTGATTCTATGCCCCCTCCACCTGGATTGATGCTTTCTCTCTGCCTGGAAAATCATCACCCAGTTACTACTCCTCTCAAACATTCCCACATGCCCATCCCTCTTTCCTTCCTCAGCCAGTACAAGGTTCTTTAAAAATCAATTCAGATGTAACTTCCTCCAGGAAGACTTTGCTCATTTTTTTTTTCCCTCATTCCCTACCCACCTTAAGATGGGCTGGGTGCCATTCCTAAATATTCTCATAAAATCTAATGCACTTCTCTCTTACTAGATTATGTTTAAATTATTTAAATATGTGTTATTAGATTGAATTCTTTGAGGGTAGGAAGCATTCTTACTCCTCCCTATATCACCAGCCACATAATTTTTTGGATTAATGGATGAATGAATAAATCTCTGGCTTGGGAAGAAAACTATTGGAATGTTGGCTCCTTAAAGCTTTCCATATCATAAATGTTTTTACTGATCCTTCTTATGCCTGGAAGAAGGAGGCATTTTACAAATTATCTAGGTCATTCTGATCTACATTTATTAGGCAATAGTTGGTTGAATATGTAATTCATCCCAACTACTTCCATCCAACTGGTCCTTTATTCCTGAATGCATATTATCCAAGAGAATTCCGTAGCACACCATTTCCTCATCCACATGATCCACATTCTACCATGAAAGAATTTTTTCAAGTGAGCTTCTAGCCAGAACTTCAACACTAACCACTTGTGAGATGCACAAATAGCTCCCTGCAGAACTGAGTTCAGCTTAGACACACAAGAGGAAACTCGCTGTGGGTTTTCCTGGTGAAGTCCTGGAGAGTCTATAGGTCCTGCAGGTGTTCTACTTACAATCTGAGCTGAGAGACACCAAGGACACCCACAATCTTGCCAGCAGAATGGCGCTAACGGGACTCACCCGTGGGTTTTTTGCAAGACAGTTTTGTAAAGTATATTATACGATGAGAAGACAATTACTTGCAAGTTGTTCTGTTCCTTGGAGTTAAGATGAACACAAACCCTCTTCTATACTAAATGAGATGCTCCTTTCCTCTAGACAAGTTAGAACTAGAGGTGTCTAGGAAAGACTGTGAACTCCAAGGTAAAAGGAGAAGCCCCTAATTAGAAAATGATACAGTTTAAAATATTGGTAAACCCACCACAGCTATGCTTTCTGATATGGAGCTGGTTCAAGGGCTTTACAGAAAAAAATTACAAGTGTATTTTTACATACTTTCTTCAAATTTGGCCTGGAAGGCAGCTTCCCAAAACTCTGCAAAATCTAGACTATAATAACAATTCACACAACATTCAAGGTGTAGAACTCATGATCAAATCACCAAAAATCCTACATTAGTAAGGTTTTAAGAAAAATGACAGTGAATCCACCAGGTGGATTATTATGTAGTCAAACTCTTGTAAAAACAAAGGAAATTGCTTGTGCCTCAGGAGCAGGATACAAAAATGCAGATGCAATACGTTTACAAGTTCGTACAACAAACAAACACAATATATGCAGAGCCGAAAAAGACAGGAAGGAAATGTACCAAGGTGTTCCCAGAAATGTCCCTGAGCAGCGACACAATGGCTACTTTTTTCTCCTTTGACATTTGAGCTTCTCCAAATATTCTATAATCAACATACATGAAGGAGAAGAATAAACTTAATTTTAATACTCCATCCTAATACTGGTATTAGAGCATGAGGATAAAACCTATGTTATAGATTTTCCACAGTGAAGTAAAAGTTGTAGTCAATTATAACTGTATACACAGATGTGATTTAATCCATGGTTTGACCATAAAACAGAGAAACATTTTGTTTTGGTCTTTTAACAGTGTGCACATTTAAAGACGAGGGAAAAATTAATAAATTCATGCCATTACCTTCTGTTTGTAAATTGCGACCAAAAATCTTGTTTTATGCTTTCATGGGAGGGATAGTCTATACATATTTAACCTGAATATCTCTTTGGTATAAAATGCAAACTTTATGAAATTAAACATTATCTCTGAATTCTATTTTCAGTGTTCTTAGGAAGTGATCATAAATGACCTGTAAGGCAGACAAACTATTATCCAAATAGCCTATTTGTTTAAAGTATGAGTCTATTTCCACACTGTATGTTTTCTAGGTGGCACTTGAGTTTAGCTATGACACGGGTATGTTTCTTATGCCTAAATAACAGAAACATATAGGTTCTAGGTTGGAAGGAACTTGAGACACTAG